TAATGGGGCGGTCCCACAGGGTGAGTGGTCTCTGCTGAGCTTCCACCTCCTGTGCTGGATATCTCCCTGTTCCGCACTTACTGGGCTGGGCTGCTGGGATGCACGGAGGCACTGCAGACCATGTGATCTCTGTGGAGCTTCCCCTTCCCCTGCTGGATGTCTCCCTGCTCTGCGCACGCTGGGCCGGGCTTGGGATGGAGCTGGGTGGCGGTGGTGAAGCCTATCTGCTGCTGGATCGTGCGGCAGCAGCTCCCCCACAGGGTGTGTGGTCTCTATGGAGCTTCTGCCTCCCCTAGTGGACGTCTCTCTGCTCCGTATGCACTGGGCCATGCTACTGGATTGCACGGTGGCAGTGTGGTCTCTGCAGAGTTTCTGCCTCCCCCACTGGACGTTTTCCCACTCTGCACGCAGTGGGCCAGGCTGGGAATGGAGCTGGGTGGTGGCAGTGAAGCCTATCAGCTGTATCACGCAGTCGCGGCCCCACAGGTTTTGTGGTTTCTGCGGAGCCTCTGCCTCCCCTGCTGGACGTCTCCCCACTCTGTGAGCACTGGGCTGGGCTGGGAATGGAGCTGGGTGGCAGCGGTGAAGCCTATCTGCTGGATTGTGCAACGGCGGCCCCGCAGGGCATGTGGTCTCTGCGGAGCTTCTGCCTCCTCTGCTGGATGTCTCCCCATTCCATATGCACTTGATATTATGTTTTTATAGTTGTAAATCAGTTGATTTGTGGGAGAGAGTGATGTAGGGACTGTCTATTCCACCATTTTGACCGGAAGTCTCTGCTGCCTCAGGAGCCCATTTCAGTTTTGGAAGCTGGGAAGTCCAAAGTCTGGGGGGACATATCTGGTGAGGGTTTTCTTTGGTGGTGGCTTTACAGCAATGCAGGGGTTATTCTTCCCAAGGAGAGGGTAGTCTATGGATCCTCGGCTTGATCAGAGTAGCTTATGACTCACTTGTAACAGTTTCTGAGGCCGAGAAGTCCAAAGTCCATCTGGTGGTTGTGACAGTGACCCAGGGGTCTCACATTGCAAGATGGTGGAAGCAGAGAGACGACACTTGGTGTTTTAGTCCGTATTGTGTTGCTATAACAGAAACATCTGAGACTGGGTACTTTATAAAGGAAAGAGGTTTATTTGGCTTACAATTCTGGGACGGCTGCATCTGGTGTGGACCCCAGGCTGCTTCTACTCATGGCAGAAAGTGGCAGGCAGCTGGCAGGTACAAGCAGATCACATGGCGAGAGGAAGCAAGAGAGAGAAAGAGAGAGAAGGTGCCAGGGTCTTTTTAAGCAATGAGCTCTCGTGGGAACTAATAGAGAACTCACTCATTACTCCCCCCTCCCCCAGGGAGAGCATTAATCCATTCATGAAGGATCCGCCCCCATAACTCAATCAGTTTCCAACACTGCTGCATTGGAGACCAAATTTCCACATGAGTTTTGGAGGGGACAACACATCCAAACTCCATCACTTGGCTAGTTCCACCTTTGGACTATTGTGAATAATGCTGCTATGACCATTTGTATTCAGGGTTTTGTGTGGATGCATAGTTTTATTTCTCTTGGCATATACCTAGAAGTGGAATTGCTGGATCATATGGTAACTTTATACTGAATCATTTGAGGAACTTTTAGGCTGTTTTCAGATTGGCCACACCATTGTATAGTTTTCCCAGCCATGTGTGAGGGTTTTAATTTCTCCATATCCTTACAACACTGTTTTTGTGCATCTTTGTGACTATAGCCATGGTAGTGGGAGTGAAGTGATATCTCATTGTGGATTTGATTTGCATTTGTCTGATGTCTACTGATGTCAAACATCTTTTCATGTGCTTATTGGCCATTTGTATATTTTCTTTAGAAAACTATGTATTCAGATTTTTTGCCAATTAAAAAAATGGGATATTTATCTTTTTATTATTGAGTTCTAATCTTTTTTCAATATATTCTGGATACAAGCTTCTTCTAAGATATAAGATTTGTAAAATTTTTCTCCAATTCTGTGGTTTTCTTTTTACTTTCTTTCATGTTTCTTTTCACTTTCTCTATGGCATTCTTTGAGCCACAAAAGTTTTTAATTTTGATGATGTTCAGTTTATCCATTTTTCTTTCATTGCTTGTGCTTTTGATGCCACGCCTAGAAAGCCAATGCCTAATCAAAGATCATGAAGATTTACACTTATGTGTTCTTCTGAGAGTTTTATAGTTTTAGCCCCCCCCAGTCTGGTCTTGAGGCACCCAAGGAGAAAGGCTGATGAGACCCAGAGCCCATGCTGGGTGGAAGGGGGTATGGTGGGGTGTGACAGGAGGAGCATCTGTGACCTGGAGGGTCAAGCAGGAGTGACCCGGATGGGACCCACCTGGGAAGGGGCAGCTATGCTCCCGGGATCAGTGAAGACACCCTCAGGGAAGGGGGTGAGTGGAGAAGCACCTGCAGGACTGGATGTGGGTCTTTGGAGGTGGTTTCTGGGATAAGAAAGTCTGGTGCAGAGCTGTGAGGAGTCTGGAAAGGGACTGTGAAGTGATACACTCTCCCCTGCTGTCCATTCCTTGCCCACCTCCTGAGCCCTGGGGTCCCTCCTTGGGGTCCCTCCCTGGGGTGGGCAGGGCCAGTGATCACAGCTTTCATTGTGACTCCATCCTTCCCTGTGTTCTGGGCACGTCCCCATTTGTTTCATCTTTCTCATCCACCAATGAGCTGTGAGCATTGAGGCCATGCCCACTTCACTGTTGCCTAGCACCGCCCGCTCCCACTGCACTGGCTCAGTTACGCATCTGCTCTGTTAGCTGAAGGAAGCGATTTCCCAGTGCTTGGATGGTGGTGATGCGGCCCCCCTTTCCTTCTCCCTGCCCTGAGATGTCAGAGGAAACCTGACAGAGGAAATTGGCTGTGGCCAAGAATAAGGTACAGCGTGTTGGGTCGCAGGCCCCAGACCCAGCCCTAGGCCCCTTTGGTGGTGGGACAGGAGCAGGACTTAGTGTCACTTCTGAGGCACACACAGCTTACCCCTCTGAGCCTATTGACTCTCCTCACCAAAGTCTTTTCAGCCATCCCTGCCCCCCAGCAGCCCAGCCCCTGCCCTCGCCAGGCACCCCCTGTCATTACTTCCTGTAGCCAGACCTTTGACCTCATGACCCAGTCCCCTATGTGTTTTCACCCTCTTTCTGGCTTCTCTGGTCATGGCACAAATTTCCATTTGGAAGGGTACTCAGGACTAGGGGACCAGGGCTGAGAGGTTTCTGGCTCCCTCACTCCCTTCAATTAGACATTGACTACCTGAAAAGCCTACCCTTCACCAATGAGCTTGAAATGTTGATAATATCTCTGGGTGACAATTGGGAGAATGGGTTTGGTTTGGTTTTCTCCCAGGTTTCTACTCTCTAGAGACACTTTACATTTTATTTCTGAGTCTGTATCTCACATTAGAATTCCCTAGGATTCTGGGACCAGAGAGCCTTTCAGTCTGTGCTCTCTGGAGAGAGATGTGCTTATCTTCTGTGGAACAAATCCTGGGCAACTGAACTTCACAGCTTGAATCTTGCCCAGATCATCTCAATCTGGGGTGCCACAGGACTCATAGGGGGCATCTTTCTGAAGAATCAGATTTGCTTGATTCTTTTGAGAGAGGAAAAACCTATTAATGAACTTACTTATGACATTCATCTAGATTTGTAAGATCATAAGAGACTTCTCTCTGAAATGATGCTTGGGTTGTCCTTTTTGTTAGGTCCCCAGATCCCTAGTGGTGTGCCCTCACTAACTTCTGCCATTAGGATACATTGACATAAACATTTAAGAAGTACTAGTGTATACCTCTCACAGCTCTGTAAGAGAGGACCCCAATGTCTGATTTGTATTTTGCCACCTGGCAGCTGCTGATTCATGACAAAGCCCCAGAAGACTGAAGTTAAGTTCCATTATTGCTTTTTTTACTCATGTTATCAATCCATTTCTTCAACCATCTAGTGATCATTACAACACCTTGTAGGGTTGGTGGTGGCATTAAGTCAGATGTATAAGTAAAAATATTTTGTAAAAACTGTAAAGTAGGATGGAAGTATAGGGGCTTATATGTCTCCTGAATGTTACTGCTTTTCCCTTTCACAGTTAAGAGATTACCAATAGAGAAATGGGCCTGGTGGTCCTCCAGGAGCAAAGAACAAAATGAAAACTGGCAGTAGCCCTGATTCAACCACTTCTGGGGGTTGCCATTTGCCTAAGGAGGTGAGGCTCAGCTGGTCATGCTCTTGGAAACAGGGGGCTCAAGAGACAGCAGGGGGGTAATGGTAACGATCATGGAAGAAGTGTCAGGGACTAGTTAAGAAGTCTGGGTTTGAATCCCGCATCTCCCTCTGCTAGGGATATAATTTAGGACTCTTCTCTGAGTCTTCTCCCTTGAAGCTGTACACACAAAGATGGACCATGAGCTTTGCTATCTCATTGAATCCAGCTGCAGGAAGCACAGGATGAACCTTGATAACACCAAGGTCCAGGGCTCAATCCCTGTACTGTCCACCACCAAAAAAAAAAAATAAATAATAATAAAAAAATAAAAGTACAGGATAAGAGCTGCTCGGGAGGGGAGGGATGATGGGGGAGAGAGACCATGAGAAGTGGGCACAAATAGGAGGAGGGCCTGGTCCAGGTCAAGCAGGAAAGAGACTTTTGCAAGTTGATGGGGAAGAAAGGACAGCAGAGGGCTTAGCCATTGAGGGGGACAGAGCATCTCCATGTGCGCTCTCATCTCCTCTAGCCCACATCATATATCAGTGGGGAGGCCTTTTTGACATCAGAAGGAGCTGGAGGTAAGTGCCCCTGCAGGCCAGCCTCTTGACCACCTCCCATGGTGGGGGCTGGGTGCCCCGCTGTCAGCTGAGACAGCCCCCACCCCACCCATAATGATTGCTCTCTCTACCCCTCCTCCCAGACCTCCTCACTGTGCGTGCCTCACAGCCCATACCTAGATCTGGCAGTAGCCCAGTACTCCAGCTACATAGAAAACAAACATCGAAGGAGCATGATCCAGGAATTGGTAAGAGTCCAGTGGGTCCCCTGATTCCACACTGCCAATCCTAGGCTTCAACTTCCCCTTGGAGCTCTGAAGAAAAGGGCTGGGGGTTCCTGTGCCAAGGGAGAATGGGGTGCTGGGGGACCTAGGTCTCAGCGGGAGAAACCCCAGACCATGCACCATGGCTCTTTCTGTTGCTGCCCTGTCTGCCCACTCTCTCTTCTCCAGACACCCCTGCTTGAGTCCTTGCCACACATGCCCTGGGCTGTCCCCCTGCTGGAAACACTAGGCCGACTGTTGTCAGAAGTCCTGTGTTCCCACCCTGATTTAGATCCCGCTTTGCTTTGTCTTTTGTTTTAGACAAGCCACCTCTCCTATCTGGGCTTGAGTGTCCTGAGATAGAATTAGAGGGTTTCAAAGGTCCCTGTCAGCTCTAAGAATGAAAGATTTCTAGGAGCACTTGAAGCATCAGGGAGACAGGGCTCTTGCCTGTCCTTTACATTCCTAGATCCCTGCTGTTAAGAACAATCCCAGTCCCATAGTGTGTGGTTCGTGGTGAATACATGCACCCTTGTGAATTGCAAGCTGGGAGAAGGGTAGTCTTTCCTTTCTCAGCCTCCATTTCTAGAGGTTTCTGTGGCAGTCTTTTAAAGAGAATCTGGATTCAGATGTTCAGCTCTGTAGCTGTGAGTGAAACCCACAAAGACCCAAATTCTCTTTCCTTGGGAGTTCAAGGAGAGTTTGTCAATTTGTATCCCCGTAGGGTGTGAGAGCTTTTCCTTGAAAATCCATTCCTGTCCCCTGCCCACCACTTTAGTGTGGGGAATGGGGCTGAGGGGGCCGACCGCAGTCACTTTCCTGTGATTCTCCACACAGGAAAAATAGCACCAGGAAACTCTGGATGAACTGGAAAGAGGAACATGATTTCTTTGTTCTCTCATTCCATGTCTGATGGTTTTGGGGAAAGACTCAGATGGAGAGGCCACAGGCTTGTCTTGCCTACTCCCAACCTGGACAAGGCTCAGCCCTTCACCCCACCCTCAGCCCCACAAGGTCCCTGAGAATCTGGTCTCACTGGCAGGCCTGTCCTGGGCCATTGGTGGCATTCCTGGGGCCTGTCCCTTGCTGTTGCATCTCTGCCTCCCTGGTTAGGGATGTTTCTTTCCTCTTCCTATAGCAGGAGAGTAGGTGTCAGCAGGCGAACTCTCTGCAGGAACAACTACAGGTGAGTGGACTGTATGGCATCCCTCACATCCCCTAGAGAAACTTCCTTTCCCTCTCTCAGCACCTGTTTGACTCTTCTCTCAAAGGCTCACATTCAGACCACTGATGTCTTAATGTCCGAAAAGGCACAGTTAGAGAGAGTCCTGGCCAATGCTCACCATGTGGTCTGGCAGAAAGCAGGTGTGAATCTGGGCACCTTTCCTCCCTCAACCTGGTGCCTTGGCAGGCCTTCGGAGGAGTGCTTTGGGCTCCATCTTGACCTCTGCCATTCCAGGGGAGTGTGAATGTCTGGCGAGCTACCTGTGCTCACATGAGTGCAGATAAAAGAGCTGCAGTGGAGTCTGACCACTGTCTCCACACAACAGAAGGAGGCTGAGAGGGTGAGTCCAGCCACCTGCCCTCACGCTTGTGCCTCCACCCAGAGGGGAAAAATGGGCTTAGAGAATTAGATAGACCTGGATGTTCACATCCCAGCTATACGTGATGTTAGCACTTAACCTCTAATCCTTTGTATTTCATCTACAAAATGGAGATAGTAATAGTAACTCCCTCCTATGGTGGTTGTGAGGATTTGATAGATTGTTAGCATGGTGCTGGTGATGCGCTCAATACAGAGTCAAATGATGGTGATGACAGTCATAACAATGGCCCGATATCCCTGGGCCTCTGTCAGCCAGCTGTAAATCAGATCTCTTTCCCTGCCTCTTCCACCCTTACTGAGTTCTTAGTAAAGCCAACTGAGAACATGGGCTTGGAAATGCCTTGAAAAAGATGTCAAGTGTGATTCAGGGGGAGGGAATGTTACTGCCGAATGGTTGCTGTAGGTGTCAGTATTAGTGTGCCCCGACTACATCTCCCTGTTGAATCCTGATTTCATCTTTCTGTATTTACAGTCCTACCACGACTTGAAGAAACAGCAAGATGTTCTCCAACTGCACTTGGAGGACAACAAGTAGGAGGGGGAGGATGGATGGCAGGTCTGGGGGGCCTCAGTGCAGGCGATGTGGTGGGGGGTGGGAGGGTACAAGTGAGCACGACGAGGTGGATGCACAGGTTTGGACATGTGCAGAGCCAAGCTCTTGCTCCAGCTGTGCCAGTGACTCAGGTGTGGCCTCAGGCAATTCATGTCCACTCTCTGGACTAGCACTTGTGACTCTTGGTTCCTGGGGTCCCCTTCCCATGCCATGATCCTCTGGTTGTGTGGCAAAGTCAGTGCGTTGGTCACCAAAGTGGTGTTTTCTGTTCCTCATTCTTTCCATTCTCCACCACCTTTGGCCACAGGAACAATGATGAGGACCACAAGTGTCGCCAGTCCCAACTGAAGAGGAAGCTTCAGGTCCTTGTGATGGAGAAGGCAGCCTTGCAGCTCCAGATGAAGAAGCTTGAGATGTGCAAGCTCCTGCCACAACAAGTGAGTGGCTGTAGCACAGGGTTTTGGTTTTACGGGGGTGGGGTAGAGAGGGAGGTGGCAGCCTGTCCATTCTGCAGCCATTCCCTCCATGGCTCATGCCCCTGTGCTCTGGGCAGGTTCATGATTTGAGGCTGGAGCAGGCCTGAGTCAGATTCAGGAGCCAGAGACCTGCTTGGCTGATGTAAGGAGGCAGACAGGTAAGCTGGGTCTAGTGTGGCCTGGGAGCATGTGCGGGGAAGAGAAAGAGATGTGCAGCAGCAGATGGCAAGTCTGCTCATCTGAGCCTCAGTGTCCCTGTCTGCAAAGAGGGGTGGGGTGCCTATTGTTGGCCACCCACAGTTGTCTTGAGCACAAGAATGTGAAGAACTCTATTTGAAAGTGGTTTGAATGATTGACCATCATCTGGACATAAGGAATGATTAGACATTAAGCCATGGTCTGGGGTGAGGCTGGATTAGAAGCTATGGGTCAAGAAGAGAGTTTTGTGCAACTCCAGAAGCCAGAATCCCTTATCATCTGATTCCTTTCTCAGCTGAGCCTCCACCCAAGAGCCTCCAGCAGCACCCAGCGAGGAAGTATGGTGGCTGCAGGTGGAGGCTGAGCAGCTGCAGAAGCAGCTGGATAGCCTGGTGGGTCAGCTCCAGGCTCAGGTAAAGGACAATAAAGGTGTGAGCCACTTGAACTGGGAGCAGGAGGAGCGGCTGCTGGAGCTGGAGTGGGCTGCTGGGCTCTGAGGCAAGCAGCATGGGTGGGTGCTTGAGGGCATACAGTGCCACCATGCCACCACAAGCTGCGTGCTGTCCCAGGCCCATGAGCTCCAGGAGCAGCTGGCTAAGCTGTAGACTGGCTTCATCAGGCTGGTGCACCACCCGCCCTGCCAGTGTGCCCTCCACACTCACCCCCTGGGCCTTTCTTTCCCCACCTGTAAACTGGGGTGGTGGAGATCTCATGTGAAATGGTACCTGGGAAGGCACCCTGTGAGCCAGTGCCCTGTGCTGTGGGTCTCCAGCTGCATCAGGTGGCCACCGATTACTTCTCTCCATCCAGACCAATTAGAACATGGAGGTCACCAGTGCACTGCAGTCAGGGCAGCATGTGAAGATGGAGCATGTGAAGATGGAGCTGGCCAGTCAGGGCAGCATGTGAAGATGGAGCTGGCTGAGTTGTGCCAGAAAAGAAAACAACCAAAAGAAAAAAAGAAAAAAAGAAGGAGACTTAAACATCAAGAAGAAGGAGAAAACACCCAAAAGGAGAAAATACCCCAAAGAAGAACAAAACACCCATAAAAAGAAAACACCCAGGAGAAGAAGAAAACAACCCCCCAAATGAAGAAAACCCCAAGCGGAAGAAAACACACCAAATAGGAAAACACCCCAAAGAGGAAATCACCCAAAAGAGGAAGAAAACACCTCAAAAATGAAGAAAACACCCCAAAGAAGCAGAAAACACTCACAAGAGGAAGAAAACACCCCAAACAGGAAAACCCCTACAAAAAGAAGAGAACCACAACATAAAGAAGACCCCCCCAAAAAACCCCCAAAGAAGACAACCCCAGCAAAAACAATGCCAAGAGAAGGAAGAAAAATCCCCCAAAATAAGAAAACCCCCATAAAAGAAAAAAAAAAATACCCAAATAG